TCTGACTACTTCGTTATGTCATTGAGTGTGGTCACATCTAAGCATTTATATAATGGAATATTAGCATTTTATTTTTTCAGTACTTTGTTCTCATTTGTATTACAATTGGTCAGTATATAAATACTTGAAAAATTATGTGTGTAGGTAGATTTTATTATCTATGAATTTTATTTCAGGACAGTCAAAGGGACATTACAAAATATATGTTATAAAAATGGGGCCCTGGGTCTAATACAATTGAGAATCATTGACGAGAATGTTCCTGAGAATAAATTCAATCTGTAATTACTGGTACAAATGGAAATGTTTTTTCTAAATGATTTTTATTCTAATAATTTCTGCAATGAGAAACTTTTAAAAGGTGAAAGTATAGAATTAAAGTATCCATCAAAACTGACGTCAAAGATGACAGCTAGCAAAAAAGAAACTTACCTTGACATTTCCTATGTATACATCATCATTACAGAATAAGCCTTCATTAAGGTCCAACAAATAATGCCTAATCCTGTAATACACTGCTCCAAAAGCTCAGTTTATATAGTAAACTTAAAAAGAAAAAGCATAGGGGCTCCTGGATGGCTCAGATGGTTAAGCATTTGACTCTTGATTTCAGTTCAGGTCATGATCTCAGGGTCCTGAGATCAAGCCCCGTATCGGGCTCTGTACTGGGCATGGAGCCTGCTTAAGATTCTCTCTCTCTCCGTCTCCTTTCCCTCTAAGGGGGGAAAAAAAAGGCTAACATTTATTTAGTACTTTCTTATGTGTCAAGCCTTGATTTAAACACTTTGTATTAACTTGTTCAGGCTGGCAATAATCTTCTGAAGTAGATACTGTTATTACTTCCATTTGCATGTGGCAAAACTAAGGCTCATACAGGTTAAATAACTTGCTCAAGATATCATAGCCAGAACTCAAGCCATGATGGAAGGAGTCCAAAAACCAACCCTGTAATTCTAGATGATACCACCATTCACCTGCTACATGACTGTCAGGAAACCCCTTTAGGTTTTGGTTTTCACAGCAACAAAACTGAACTGCTAGGAAGATTAAATGAAATAAACTATGTACTACTACCACAATTTACTGCACTGAATGCCTACTATCACATTATAAGAGCTTAATAATAGTAGCTGCTGTTATTCTACATGTATTCTACACCACTCCACAAAGGTGGCTACTGTTATTCTGTATTCTCTTCAGCTACCATACACACATTATTCTTTAATTATTTTACTGACAATGTAATTCTAAACAAAATTCCAGTATTAATATTTTAAAGGCTAACCTTCTTTTGTCTCACATCCTAAAATATCTGGCAATATTTACCAATTGTTTACCACCTGACCCAGCAATCCAGCTTCAGGAATTTATCCTCAGATATGCCTGCACATGTATGAAGTCATATATATACAACACTACTTACTACAGAATTGTTTGTAACAGCAAAAGATTAGAAACAACCCAAGTGTTCATCAAGAGAGGGCTGGCTAAAGACATTTTAATTATGTCCCTATAAAGAACAGTATGCAGCTTTTTTTTTTTTTACTTATTTTATTTATCTATTTGAGAGAGAGAGAAAGCGCACAGAGGAAGAGTGAGAGAGAGAAGCAGACTCCCCGCCGAGCAGAGAGCCTGACACTGGGCTCCATCCCAGGACCCTGAGACCATGACCTGATATCCATGACAACGGGATAACCACATGCACAATAATGAAGTTGGTCCTCTACCTCAACCCTACACAAAAATTAACTCAAAATGGATCAAAGATCTAAATATAAAAGCTATAACTATAAAACTCTTCGAATAAAACAAAAGCATAAATCTTCATGACCTTGGATAAAACAATGGTTTCTTAGATTAACACCAAAAGCACAAGCAACAAAACTAAACATAGATAAATCGGACATGATCAAAATTTAAAAGTTTTGTGCTTCAAAGAAAACCATCATGAAAGTAAAAAGACAACCCATAAATGGGGAAAAAATTGTGTAAATCATGTACCTGTTAAGGGACTTCTATCTAGAATACATAAAGAAGTATTACAACTCAGTAACAAAACACAAATAACCTAATTAAAAACAGGCAAAGGATCAGAACAGACATTTCTCTCAAGAAGGTATTCAAATGGCTAACAAGCATGGGAAAATATGTTCATTATCATTAGCCACCAAAGAAACGGAAATCAAGCCCACAGATACCACCAACACCAACCACAATAGCTAAATAGAAGAGGGACAATAACAAGCACTGACAAGGACGTGGACAAACTGGAAACTTCATTCCTGGTGACAAGACTGTAAAATGGTACAGCCATGTGGAAAACAATCTGGCAGTTCCTCAGATGCTGAAGTACCACAGTTACCACAGGATCCAGTGATTACACTCATAGGTATACAACCAGGAGAACCGAAAACATATTCACACAAAAACTTGTACAAGTGTAAGTTCATAACAGCATTATTCATAATAGATGGAAAGTAGAAACAACCCCAATGTTCCCCTGATGGAATCAATAAAATGCAGTATACCCACACAAAGGATTATTATTCAGCAATAACAAAAAAAATTAAGTACTGACACATGCTATAACATGGGTGAACCATGAAAAATTATTCTAAATGAAAGAAGCTAGTCATCAAACACCGCATATTGTATTATTCCTTTACCTTATGTATCCAAAATAGGCAAATATATAGAGACAAAAAGTAGATTAGTGTTGCCTACGACTGGGTTGAGAGTGACATCTAAGAGGCATAGCATTTCTTTTTGGGATAAGGAAAATGTTCCAAAACTGATTGTGGTGACAGAGGTACAACTCTATGAACATACCAAAAACCATTGAATAGTATACTTTAAATGCGTAAATTGTATGGTATATGAATTATATCTCAATAAAGCTATTTTTTTTAAAAAGTAAACGAAGTACATCAATGAACCTTGAAAACACTATATTAAATGAAAGAAGCAAGACACAGAAGACCACATTTTATATGATTCCACTTATATGAAATACCTAGAATAGGCAAATCCATGGGGACAGAAAGTGAGTTATGATTACCAGGAGGTGGGGAGAAGGGGGAATGGGGAGTGACTCCTAATGGGCACGGGATTTCTTTTGGGGGTAATGAAAATGTTCCAGATTTAGACAGTGATGGTTGTATAATTTTGTGAACATACTAAGAACTGCTAAATTGTATACTTTAAAAGGGTGAATATTATCCTCTGTGAATTACATCTCTTTTTTAAAAAAACAATGAATGTGAATCAACTAAGCTTGTAAGTTAACAACATAATGTACCTATTCACAAATTTTGTAATTCTCTAATATTTATGCATGTAATTTCACATTTACCTTTTCTGAAATGCATGATAAAAGTAGTCTTTCATGCCCATCTATTACTCAAAGGTGTACAAACTAAACTTTCTCAATCAGCAATTTTACTTTTTCCTTTAGGTAAAAGAAAGATTGAAAACTATTAGTATTTTTTACTATATTCATGATTGGTCTCAGTATCTTTATTTTTGACACCTTAACAATTTCTGACTTAAAGTCAATTCTGGAGTACTCTTGGCATTCATACCAGAAAATGAAAACTTTTTTAAGTTTTTTTTTATTTTTTTATTTTATTTGACAGAGAGAGAGATAACGAGAGAGGGAACACAAGCCGGGGGAGTGGGAGAGGGAGAAGCAGGCTTGCCGCCAAGCAGGGTGCCCGATGTGGGGCTCGATCCCAGGACCCTGGGATCATGACCTGAGCGGAAGGCAGCCACTTAACCGACTGAGCCACCCAGGCGCCCCCAGAAAATGAAAACTTATATTCATGTAAAAATCTGTGTGCAAATGTTCATAGATGTTTGATTCATAATAGCCAAAAACTATAAACTGCCTAGATGTCTTTCAACAGGTGAACGGTTGAACTTTACGTGTATACACCATGCAGTGCCACTCAGCAATAAAAAGTAAATGAACTATCAATACATGCAACAACTTGGATAAATCTCAGGGAGGTTATGCCAAGTGAAAAAGGCTGATCCCAAAAGGTTACATATTGTATGGTTCTATTTATGTGACATTTTTGAAAAGACAAAATTCTAGAACTTGAAAGCAGATTAAGGATTGTCAGGCGTGAGGGATGGCGACAGAGCAATGTAGTCTGGCTAGACGTGGACGTGGTCATAAAAGGGTAACAGGAGGCATCTCTGTGATACGACTGTTTAGTACCTTAATGTGGTAGTGGATCTGTCAATCTAAACACAAAGAGTACAAGAAAAGCTGGAGCACTGTGAGTACAATCTGTAGACTGTATCAATGACAGTATCATGGTTGTGATACTCTACTACAGCTCTGTAAAATGTTACCACTGGGGAAAACTGTGTAAAAGGTACACCTATGTAAAGGGTACTCTCTCCATATTCTTTCTTACAGCCACATGCAACCCTATGCTTATCTGAATAAGAATTTTAATTTAAAAAAAAGTGCAGATCAGGGGCACCTGAGTGGCTCAGATGGTTAAGCGTCTGCCTTCGGCTTAGGTCATGATCCCAGGGTCCTGGGATCAAGTCCTGCATCCTTCTCCCTCTGCTTCTACCGCTCCCCCTGCTTGTGCTCTCTCTCTCTCTCTAATAAACAAATAAAATCTTTAAAAAATAAAAAAAAAATTTTAAATAAAAAAAGTGCAGATCAACGTACATGTCTAACTACTTATGGAGTAGAAGTAAAATTATATTTGTTGATACTTACATAAAAGAACAATGAAGGAATACTGAAAGTGGTTATCTTAGGGTAAAAGTGGGCAGATGGGGTAGAAACAACTTTTCAAAGCATTAATTTTCACAATATTTTAAATTCTGAATCATGATCATATATTACCAGATCAAAAAAATAAGTAAAATATTAAAAATACCTTTGGACAAAAAGAACCTTAATTTAAAAAAAAAAGAACCTTAATTTAGTAAACTTCTACTACTTTGAAAAGTACCTCAATTTCAGTTATCCTTACCTCTAACCTCTGTGTCTGATCCTTGCCCAAAAGGTCACGGACTTCTTCATTATATATTTCCAAGTAAGACACTCGAACCAAAAATCTATAAATAAAACATCATTTTAGGAAGCATAAAGAGCAGAGAAATATTTATAAGAGTTTTCAAATGTGTTTATAAGCTTTATACCTATATGCCTTTCTTGTGTTTGTACTTCTCAATATTAGAAAATAAAAGAATTCTCTTTTACCTTGTATCACCCTCTGCTTTTGCAATATGACCAAATATGTGAGCAAATGAATTTGGAATGATTCCTCTAAGTTCAGGAACCGCTCGAACACCTTCCATGGTAAAAGTTTTGCCTGTTCCAGTTTGTCCATATGCAAAAATAGTCCCTGAAAATGATGAAGAGAATCAAATCACTTTTTAGAGTCTAATGCTACAGAACAATAGCTCTTAAAAGTAATTCCTTTGACACTGTGACGCAATTTCTTCCCTGGACTTAAAATTTATTCAAGTACAAATTTCATTTTTTTTAAAGATTTTATTTATTTCTTTGACAGACAGAGACACAGCGAGAGAGGGAACACAAGCAGGAGGAGTTGGAGAGGGAGAAGCAGGCTTCCCGCCGAGCAGGGAGCCCGATGCGGGGCTCAATTCCAGGACCCTGGGACCATGACCTGAGCCAAAGGCAGACACTTAACGACTGAACCTCCCAGGCGCCCCTACAAATTTCACTTATATTATCAACAATAACAATATGTACTCTGTGCCACATGAGCCAAGCACTGTTAAAGTTCTCGAGTCAATGAGATATTCCTAATTATTAATGAAAAGTATCCCAAGCCCTAAAAGCAAAATTTTACATTATGGCTAATTATAAGAAATTTACTATAATGTGTATGTTAATTACCTAATGTGGACATTAAATTGGAGAAGGCAGTATAATTGCAGCAACAAAAGAATACAGGTTCTATAACGGAAAGACATCAGTGTGAATCCACACATCTGCCACTTTTAGGCACCTGAGCTTAGACAAGAGATTGTCTCTCAGACTCAGAGACTGTCTCGTCAGTGGTAAAACGAGGACAAGAGTAACTAACCCAACATGAACAGTAAGAACCAAATGAAACAGTTTACTCCACACGACCAGCATGATGCCTGGTAGAGTACAAGTAAATGGCAGAGTTTTTTTCTTCTTAATCCTAAAATAAATTCATTTTAAAAATATGTATTTTTTAAGTAAAATCTCTAAGGAATGGGGGAGTTAAAAAAATGTGACAATTATTATAGGTAATTATAGATACAATTTAAACTTTCTAAATACCTAAATTTATTCATTCAGCAACTACTTAGCACACACCTGGGTATGGCACTATGCCAGGCACCAGGGACAAAGTGACAAACAAGACAAACAGAATCCTTAATTTTATGGTGTGCATCATCTTGGAGAGGGGATACTGGTCAAACACTTACAAGCAGGATGAGTGTTGGGAATAAGAAACGGAGTTCTAGCTGAGAGTAAAGGGATATAATCTAGGCAGGAGAAATGACACAAGGGGAAAGTGGAGGGAAGTCAAGAAAGGCCTTCCAGAAAAGGTAAGGTTCAAGATACAATCTGAAGTATAAGTAAGAGTTAGAGAGCAACAGAGTGGACAGCAAGAAGTAAGAAAGAAAACAGAGGTTTTGAGGAAATGAAATGAGATCAGAATGGAAGAAGCGGAGATGGAAAATGAAGGCAGATGGACACAGAGGTAAAGACACCGCAAGGGCCTAATTGCACACCACCATGAAGGCCATGCTAAAGTTGTAAGAACGAATCCTAAAAGCAAAGTGAAGCCATAGAATGATTTTGCAGTTAGGAGTGACATCAGGATCACTTTGGCTACACTGTGTACAAAGAACTGGAACAAAGCAAGAGGAGATGTGATGAAGCCAGTCAGAGAGCTGGAGTGGTTAGCCAAATGAGACACGGTGTTGACAACAGAAGAGAATGAGAAAAGATGGAAGGATTTCAGAGCCATGTAACCATTAGAAGCAACAGCATCTGGGAAATAACTAGCCAGGGGACCACAGAAAAGGAGGAATCCAGGATGACTTTTCAAATTTCTGGCTTGAACAAGGGATGTATGGCTGGTGAACACCACCAGAAGAAAGGACGGTTTGAAGGGAAAGACTGAATTCAGTTGAGGGCATACTGAGCTCTAAGTGCCCATGACAACCCAAATGTATGTGTCAAGCAGACAGGTGGAGGGATGAGATGTATGTGCCCAGTGAAGCCCTGGGAGCGGGTGCAATTTCTGCAGGAGACAGCGCAGTGTGAGAAGACAGCACAAACGACATGGCTTTTCAACTACTTCCACCCCATCAAGTGACCTCTTACGTCACCATCATTTTCAGACTTTCCGTGACAATCATCACAGTACTTATTCACGACAGAAGCCATTTTTTATACATGGGAATAAAAAAAGTCTTTTTTCTAACTCGCTAAATATCTCAAACTATGCCATTAAGAATGTAACATATTGCCTTCAAGAGAGCTGAAAATATTATGAACTCACAGACCGCATGTGAGAGCGGACACAATGACTATCATTTACTGATCATCTACTATGTGCTAGGTCATGTCCTGTACACACAACCTCACTGAATTTTCACCCCAATCCTAAAAGCAAGGCACTATTTATATTCCCATGCTTTAGCTAAGGAAACAAAGGCTTAGAGAGGTTGAGTTACTTGTTCAATGTCATAGTAAGTGGTAGAAACAAGATGTGAACACAGTCCATTTGGCTCTAGAGCCCTTATTTTTTAAAAGTATGTAATGGCCAAAATTTTAATTCAAAATTAATTTCTAATAAAATTCCTATGAATTCATTAAATATATGAAGATTATGGATTCAAAAAGGATACTGATCTATAATTTTAAAGCTGAGAAATGAGGACCAGGAATCCCCTAGAATAAAAGAATCTCATCTCATTTTCAGAGATGAGATTCCAAATTTCTAGTTTTTGTATGTCCAACTTAACAAATCTAATGCTAGCATTTCCTTAAGATGAACTTCTCTTAAAACTTTACTTTTTAGGGGCACCTGGGTGGCTCAGTCGTTAAGCGTCTGCCTTCGGCTCAGATCATGATCCCGGGGTCCTGGGATTGAGCCCCATATTGGGCTCCCTGCTCCGCAGGAAGCCTGTTCTCCCTCTCCCTCTCCCCTTGCTTGTGTTCCCTCTCTCGCTGTGTCTGTCAAAAAAAAAAAAAAATCTTAAAAAAAAAAACAAACTTTACTTTTTAAAAACTAAAAATGACCTGAAATTTTACCCAACCTCCCCATTTCATGACTACATCTTAAAAATGGGAGAAAGCCTACAAAAAATCTGCATATGGATGTTTACAGCAGTGCATATTCATAACTACCAAAATTTGGAAGCAACCAAGATGTCCTTCTGTAGGTAAGTGAACTGATAGATAAACTGTGGTACATCCAGACAACAGATTATCAGTGCAAAAAAAGATACAAGCTATCAAGCCATGAAAAGACATGGAGAAAACTTCAGTGCATATTACTAAGTGAAAGAAGCCAAACTGAAAGGTTACATATTATACAATTGTAACTGTATGACAGTCTAGAATAGGTCAAACTATGGAGACAGTAAAAAGATTAGTGGTTGCTAGGCTTAGCCGGGGAAGGAAGGATAAACAAGCAGAGCAGAGGTGAAATTATTTTTTACAGTATTATAATAGTGGATACACATCATTATATTTTTGTCAAAACCCATAGGTTGTACAACCTCAAGAGTGAACCCTAATGTAAACTATGGACTTTGGATGATACTGATGTGTCAATGTATGTTCATCACTGTAACAAATGTACCACTGTGGTGAAAGATGTTGATAGTGGGGAACTTTGTATATGTTTGGAGACAGGGATATATGGGAAATCTCTGTACTTTCCTTAATTTTGCTATAACCTAAAGCTGTTCTAAAAAAGTTTATTAATTAAAAAAAAGTTTTAAATGGTGGAAGGATTATGTACTTGCCATTGCACATTTGAATAATGCCAAGTAAACACTCTATGTTATAGCATTCCTGATTTTTGTCCTTTTTAAACATATTGTTCTATGTCACCATCAACAATTTTCAGTCAGCATAATAGGTGGAAAATAGGTGAAAAGTCCCTTGACATTTACATACTACTCCGTACAACATTTATTTTTTAAAACACACAATTCTGTTATTTCAAAATTAAATGAGTGACACTTCCGCTTCCAACAAAGAGTAACAAGGACCAGATTTACCCTCTTGACTGAAACAAAAAGCAGACAAAATATATGAAGCAACAGTTTTCAAGACAATGAACCTCAGTCAATAAAGGGCTGTGACCCCAAAGTTGGCAAACAGGTAAGTCAGGCCCTATGACTGCCCAGCTTCCTGCCTTGTAAGAGAATCAACCACAGAGCAGGAGGGGGAATCCAAGGAGTGATGAGCAGATTCTCTGAGTCAAGAAGGAGCCGAGAGTCCAGAGAGACCAACGCAACTAGAACTTGGAGGACACGGTAGCGAAGAGGGTACCACCGTGCAGAAAGCTGCAGATTCCAGAGGTCTGCAGGTCTTCCTCAAGTATTCGGCTGAGTACTAAGCATCTCAAGAGTGTGAGGAAACTATCTAAATGGAGGTGGGGGTGGGAATCATTTGGAAGGAAGAGTCCTCAATGCTCACAAAGGGCAGAAACAGTATCTGTTTACACCAGCCAGACTGGAAAGCCTCATGAAGCACAGGACATTAGGTACAGTAAACAAAAGGGTCTTGCCTCAGAATTAGGGGACTAACCTTAGACTGATCACTACTCCAGTCCTAACTAAGGATCTTAAAAAGATCTGAAAAAGCCAGAGAAAGACAAATACCATATGATTTCACTCATATGTGGAATTTAAGAAACAAAACTGATGAACATGGGGGAAAGGAAGGAAAAATAAAATAAGATGAAATTTGAGAGGGAGGCAAATCATAAGAGATGCTAAACTCTAGGAAACAAACTGAGGGTTGCTGGAGGGGAGATGGGGGTGATGGGGTAATTGGGTGATGGGCATTAAGGAGGGCACTTCAAGTAATGAGCACTGATGAATCACTAAATTCTACCTCTGCAACTAATAAAAAAAAAGATCCGAAAGAATCAAACCATTTTCAAGTAACTACAACTGAGAACAAAGCTCATGAATATTCATAGGAATTTAAAAAATCCAAGAGCCAAGGTAAAATTCAGTGTCTGGCATCCAACCAAAATTTGCCAAGCTTGCAAAAAAGCAAAAAGATACAACTCATAATAAAGAAATCCATCAATCAGTCAAAACCAATTCAGAACTGACACAAATGTTAGAATTTGCGCAAAAGACGTTAAAA